GGACGGACGGGATGGACATGGGGATGGACGGGTGGACATGGAGGTGGACAGACAGACGGACACGGGGACGGACGGAGGTGATGGGGGGGGCATGAGGACAGACGGACACGGGGAGGGAGGGATGGAAGGACAGACGGACGCGGGGACAGACTGAAGGCGACCGGGATGGACAGACGGACGTGGGGACGGATGGACAGATGTGGGGAATGGATGGGTGGACGGACAGATGGATGTGGAGACGGACGGACAGACATGGGGACATGGATGGGTGGAAGGACAGACGGACGTGGGGATGGATGGAAGGACATGGCGATGGACAGAGGGACAGACGGACATGGGGGTGGATGGATGGAAGGACAGACGGACACAGGGACAGATGGATGGAAGGACACGGAGACACGGGGACAGACAGACAGACAGACATGGAGACAGATGGCGGGATGTGGGGATGGATGGACGGACACGGAGATGGACAGACAGATGGACGTTGAGGATGGATGGACGGAAGGACAGACGGACACGGGGACGGATGGAGGGACGTGGGGACGGACAGACGTGGGGACACGGGGATGGACGGACAGACAGACAGACAGACGGACACAAGGATGGCCAGAAGGACACCGGGATGGATGGACAGACAGGAGGACATGGGGATGAACGGGCGAAAGGACATGGGGACGGACAGACGGACACGGGGACAGGAGGACGGACAGCTGCGGGGACACATGGACAGACAGACAGACACGGGGACGGATGGAGGGAAGGACAGATGGACAGGGGGACAAGGTGGAAGGACGCAGGGCTGCCCAGACGGACATCGGGACGGATGGACAGACAGATGCGGGGACAAGCAGAAGGACAGACAGACGAACTTGCGGGGACGGACAGACACGAAGGCAGACACAGGGACAAAAGGATGGACAAACGGACATGGGGATGGACGGACAGACGGAGGACGTGGACCGAAGGATGGACGGACAGATGGATGTGAGAACGGCTGAGACGAGGTGGGGACAGACGGATGGACGTGGGGCCACAGGGACAGATGGACAGACGGATGGACGTGGGGATGGACGGACTGACGGACAGACACCGTGACGGACTGAAGGACGGATGGATGGACGGACAGACGTGGGGATGGATGGAGGAACACGGGGACGGACAGACGGACACAGAACGCAGAGACGGACAGACGGACATGGGGACGGATGGAAGGATGTGGGACCACGGGGACGGACGGACAAATGGACAAAGAGATGGGGAGAGGGACATGGGGACAGACAGACAGACAGACGTGGGGACAGATGGAAGGACACAGGGACGCTGGGATGGATGGACAGACAGACAGACGGACACGGGGATGGATGGAGGGATGTGGGGACAGACGGACAGAAGGACAGATGGATGGACGGACCGACGGGCAGACAATGGGACGGACTGAAAGACGGACGGACAGACGGAGGGACACGGGGACGGATGGGCACGGCGATGGATTGAGAAGACGGACGGACAGACGGACACGGGGACGAACTGAAGGACGGACAGACGTGGGGGACGGACGGACAGACGGACGGACCGAAGGATGGACAGACAGACGGGCACAGAGATGGATGGAGGCACATGGGGACGGACAGATGGACACAGGGGACAAACGGGACGGGCGGACAACGGGATGAACTGAAGGACGGACGGACGTGGGGGACGGACGGACAGACGGACGGGCAACAGGACAGACCGAAGGGCAGACGGACGGACGGACACGGGGATGGACAGAGGCACATGGGGACGGACAGACGGACACGGGGGACGGATGGAAGGACGCGGGGCTGTGGCGATGGACGGACAGACGGACAACCGGATGGACAGAAGGATGGACAGACGGACAGACGCAGGGATGGACGGAGGGTCGCGGAGACAATGGGGATGGAGGGACAGACGGACGGCCGATGGGGATGGGCTGAAGGACGGACAGACGGACGGCAGCGGGGGGTCGGGGGAGGGGCGGTCCCCGCTTTTGTCCAATTTCTTCACTTTTTGCCCCATTTCTTCAGTTTTTGCCCCATTTCTTCACTTTTTGCCCAATTCTCCCCTTTTTTCACCCAATTTCCTCCACCCGAATCCAATTCCCGCCTTTTCCGCCTCATTATTTTCTCTTTTTTTGCCCAATTTTCTCATTTTTCGGGTCAAATTTCTGCACGTTTTTGCTCAATTTCCTCCTTTTGCCCGATTTCCTCAATTTTCACCCGATTTCGATTCGCCCAATTTCTGAATTTTTTGCTTTTTTTGCCACAATTCTCATTTTTACCCATTTTCCTCATTTTTTACCCAATTTTCCTCTTTTTTCCCTACTTTCCTCATTTTTCTGCCCAATTTTTGTCCTTT